GCCTGGGCTGGGCTGGTAAGATCTGTAAGGTCTGTTTCTTGATCGGGATGCTGGTTCAAGGGGTGTGTGTTCAGTTTGTGAATATCATTGAGGTGTTCACTTATATAATACTTGTATATGTACTTTTCCATGTAATTACTACAATCCAATGAAAATTCTTAAAAGTAGAGGTGTATTATTTTTTTCCTGATTACTGGTAATAATATCTGTTACCTGCGCCTTTCAATAAGCTATACAAAGAAAGAGACTAACAAAATAGATAATGGTACATGACTTTAAGACACCCCAGCAGCTCTCCCCTTTAGAGCTCTAATGTTTCTGCAGGCAAATCCATCCTCACCAAGACCCCAGTCGGTCTGAGAAGGGCCACAGATGATAACATCACAAGCCAGTCACAGCATTCATGGGATGGTAGGATGCTGGTGAATTTATCTGCAGGGCAGAATTAAACACTAAGGCTAAAGGCCGAGCCTCAGAATCCTTATCTCTCAGTCTTTATGAAAGGTTTACAGAGATAAATGGAAAATATCATCCTAACCTCACAGAGATCAAATTAAGGAGCGAGGAGGCAGGAACCAAATATCTTGTTCTGACCTGTCAAAAACACTTACTCAGATGCAAGTAAACACACACCACACTCTTCCACCCTAAGGTGGCTTTTAGACCTCTAAATTCTCGGCCTTCAGAGTCTACCTCTTTCCGAGGACGCCCTCAGCACTAACATTAATGAAAATTACAAAATTTCCTGCACTAAAATCTCTCCACGAAACAGTAGCTGCTGCTTTTCACCATGGAGATTCCAATAGCCTGTATACTTTTCTGCTCTTTAAAAACAGTATAAAATAATCCAGTTTCGTTCGGTTGGTAGCCATGGAGACGACTAGGTGCAAATATTTCTGTGATTGGATAATACTAAGAACCACAGCATTCTCCACGGGTATCTATTAATATACTTCACATTAAAAAAATAAAACTAGCAACCCTAACATTTAGTTGTCACATTTCAAATTCTAAGTCCCACTGGATTTAAGATTATCTGGGGGCCTATTGAATACAAGAAGCCCACGTGAAACAAGCAAGATGATTGCTTGTCAGAGCAAAAGCTGGAGTCAGGTTTCCTCAAGTGTCTCCCCAAGACCTATTTGTTCCCCATTTCCTAGCAGGGGGTCCCCCTCCAGGGGTGCCTCTACATTTCAGTATGGAACACTGTTTCTTACCTCTGATCTTTCCACACCAGAAGCCTGAGCATGTCACTTTTAACCTTTGAAAGGCGCCTCTCCATCCAAGAGTCCCGGAGAGACCTTCCTGAGAGGTCAACACTTTTAGGTTGACCCACTTGCATAATTCATTTTCTGGAAAGCTTTTGGAGTCTTAGGCCAATTAAATTTCACCTCGATTTTTTCAAAATATAATTGCACAGGGCTGCCAGCTTCTTTTGTTCCCCCCAAACAAGCAGAATAACCCTTGTGTCCATGTCTTCTGTTTGGAGGAACGTCCAGGTAGGGATTAGTATGAGGCTTCCGATTGCAGCTTCGGAAAGCCTGGTGCCAGGTGATGTAATGCCACCAGCGGAGTCTCAAACGGGGGTTCAGGACACGACCCGCAGAGCCGAGCATCTGCCAGCAAGCCTGCACTGGCTATTGACTGAGCTCTCTGGCAAGGCAGGGCTCAGGCCTGAAGGACAGGGACAGAGTGGCAGAGTGGCAGAGCGGATCTGAGCGGGCGTTTCCAGAGGGGAGCCCAGGGTGCTGGAGGCAAAGACCAAGGCAAAGGGTGAGGGGCCACCTGCTCAGAGGGTGACACAGCTTGCTGGCAGTGGGCAGGCAGAAGACAAGAATAACAAGAGGAAGGAGGCCCCCACCTGTCCCCTTCACCAGCAAACTGACAGCCTCAAATATCATAACTGGGTCTGTGCTTACACAGGCTCTGCTGGGCGGGCACATTTTTCTTCTCACCTTTCACATTTGCATCTCCTGGAGGCAAAGAGTTTTTTTTTTTTTTTTTAAATTTTGTAAATTTTAGCTGTTATTGTAGATGGTCCAAACATTCTTTCCGCACCCAGCTGGTAGGATAAAACACGGAATTCTGGCTTTAGAGAGGAAGCAGGGTAAGTGTGATTAAGATGTGACGTACTTTTTGGAACCACATTTAAAGACAAAACCCCGTCCATCACACAGCCTCGATTTTACAATGTGGTGTCATTCTTTTACCTGATTTAGCAGAGAGCTTGGTACCCTTCCAAAACCTCATCTCATAAAAACCTCTTATCATAGGTCGGGTTCTCCCAGAAGGATGCTGAGTGAAGGCTTCAGATCTAAGAGGTTTATTAAGGAGAAGCTCCTGGACACACGGGTGCATGAATGGGAGGGGAGGAAGCCCAGCAAGGGAGTGAGTTCAGGGAAAGTCGGCCTCAGCCTGATCTTGAGGGGAGGGAGCTCTGGAGGATAAATGACGCCTCAGGTATGTCCTTCCTTGAGGCAGGCAAGCTGGGCTGTTGGCTCCTAAAGGTTATAGTTGGTGGCCTTGGCCAAAGGGAGTTGTGGGTGGGGCAGCCACGGGGATATCCAGCTCCCAGACCCTGCTGGCTCTCGGTATAGGCACACTGGCTCCAATATCAGCTCACAGGTCACAAAGCACTGAGCTGGGATTGGGTACACAGAGCTGGCAAGAGATCCCAGGAGATCTGGGTAGCCCACCAGCAGGACCTGCCGTGATGCAGCCCCCCAGTCCTACCTATGCACTGGGCCAGGCACCAGCTGTCGGTCTTTCATCACATTCTGCTGTAGGAGGAAATGAATAATATCTTTGGAAAGGCCTGGAATTGGCTTGTCATCATCCGGAGACGTACTTCCTTCCTCCAGTGGGTAGAAGTGGATATCTCTGGAATGCTTCTCTAAGACTGAGCAGCCGTCCCTGCTGAAGATGACTCGGGCCATTTGAAAACTGCGGAGGGCGTACTTTCGGCTCTCCTGGTCTCTCAGGTGACTGATCTTTTGAGACAAGCACTGGCACACAGATGCAGAAAGTGGATTCTCAGAGGCTGGCTGCGGACGGCCAAACCTGTCATAGAACCTATCCAGGGATTCCCGAAGTCCATCATTGTCTTCCTTGGTCTCTGGTTGGCTTTTCTCAGAAGGGTCCAGCCAGAAGTTCTCAGAGGCCCAGGAGTCACTTCGTCCAATGTTTGGACTGCTGGTGTCTGCAAGACAAAACACATCCCAACACTGGAGCACACAATGAAACCCAGCAGAAGGCAAGCCAAGAGCAGATGACATCTGTTAAGTTCAACACACTCACTCCTCCGGGTGACTGGCAGAGGGCAGAAGCAGCTGATTTCAGAAGCTGTCCCCACCAAGTGGCTTCAGCCACTTGTCTGCTCACAACAAGAACATCCTACTTGCACATATCAGGGGTCCCTCCATAGAAATGCAAGGTGGCTGTGAACTTGGGTGAAAAAAATCATACCTTTATTTTCACTAACCACTGTCTGAAATTAAACATTTCCTTCCATGATGCACAAAGGCAGCAAACCACAGTAGTAGCAGCAGTCCTGGTGACTCTGTCACCAATAGATACCAGTTATTTTCATATCATATTATAGTGTGTTGAAAATATTTTAAAATATTTATTCTTACTGGGTGGTGCCTGTGGCTCGGTGGGTACAGCGCTGGCCCCATATGCCAAGGGTGGTGGGTTCAAACTCAGCCCGGCCAAACTGCAACAACAACAACAAAATAGCCGGGCATTGTGGTGGGTGCCTGGGGTCCCAGTTATTCGGGAGGCTGAGTCAAGAGATCGCCTAGGCCCAGGAGTTGGAGGTTGCTGTGAGCTATGATGCCACAGCACTCTACCAAGGGCAATAAAATGAGACTCTGTCTCTACAAAACAAAACAAAACAAAACAAATTATGCTTATCACTATGCTATAGACTGAATTATATTCCCTTAAGACGTATTTCTAGACATCAAACAACTGAAAAATCCTCACAGGATACACACAGATATACAGCGATATGACGACATTAACTGGGACAGTGTGCGTTTGGTGGACAAATGCAGGGCGAGGGTACCAGAATCAGCGAGGGGTGCCTCTTGGGAGGCAGTTACTTGCAATTTTATTATGAAAAGACGAGCAATGGAAACAGGGGAGGGGCTCAGCACCTGTGGCTCTAGCGGCTAAGGCGCCAGCCACATACACCTGAGCTGGTGGTTCAAATCCAGCCCAGGCCTGCTGGGGTCACAACAATGACAGCTGCAGTGGCAGCACCTGTGGCTTAAAGGAGTAGTGCGCTGGCCCCATATGCCAGAGGTGGCAGGTTCACACCCAGCCCCAGCCAAAAACTGCAAAAAAAAAAAAAAACAATGACGGCTGCAACCAAAAATAACCAGCCGGGCATTGTGGCAGGTGCCTGTGGTCCCAGCTACTTGGGAGGCAGAGGCAGAAGAATCGTTCAAGCCCAGGAGTTAGAGGTTGCTGTGAGCTGTGATGTCACAGCACTCTACCCAGGGTGACAGTGTGAGGCTCTGTCTCAAAAAACCCCAAAAAACAAAAAACAGAGGAGGGTAAGTAAACAAAGGCCAAGTGGCAAGAAGAAACAGAAACTAACTCCTCAGCAGTGCGCTATCTTCCTCTGCCGGCTGGCCGTATCTTCAGCCCCAGGCCTAACCTGGGGCAAGAACTCACAGAGTGGCCAGAGAGGGTACCTAGACCACGCTTGTTACATATTTCGATAGCAGGGATGGTGTTTCTGCTACACTAGTTTCCAGAAAGCTTAAAACTATGCTCCAGGTCTCTACATTATTATTTTTCTTTAAAGAAGTGGTAAAGGGAGTTTCCTTGACCCTGCTATGCTTAGAGCTCCTCCCAACAACCTCATCAGGGCATGGAAGCCACCTGGGGGTTGGGGGGCAGTGAAGCACAGAAACAGCAGGAGAGGGATTCCTGGCCCATACTCTTCAGCAGCTGCAAGCCCGTGAAAACTAAGGGGAGGACTGAGCTACTGAAGGAGGCTAGAAAGAGCCATGAACGCAGCTGAACATGGCAAGTGATTTTGAACAGCATCCTTTTGCTATAAAGCACATTATCGGGACACCTGGAGAGCTGTAAGTGGCATCTGAGGATCAGACAGTGGTTATGCTCACTGTTGATTTCCTGATTTTGATGGTTGCGTAGTGTTAGGGAAGAGAATATCCTTGTTTGCAGGGGAATCAGAGGTGGGAGACATCAAGTTGGCAGCTTACTCTCAATTCATGGGGGAAAAAGGCTCTTTGTTTAAAAACAATTTAAAACAAACCTCTGGAGGGAGAATTGTTAAGTCTTCCTTTGGCGGCCTTAGTATCAAATGACGAAACAAAAAGCCTTAGCTCAGGACTTGGCGAATAGCATTTGCCTAACTGTGTTGCTTTAGAGCAGCAAGAGGAGAAGGGAGAGGAGTGGGGTCCCACATGGCGGGATGAAGTCCCTCCCCACCTCCTTCCCACAGATGGCCTGGTCCCTTGGTGGGAAGGCAGGGATAAGGAGGCTGGGAAGGGTGGGAGGGAACGGGAGATCCCGGCAGCCAGCTGCAGTGGGAAAGTTGGAGAATCCCTGAAACCACCCGCCCAAGCACGCCAAGTAGCCCAGTGTGTACTTGGTTAAGCAACTGGCCAGTACACATGAATATGCAGGATTTTAAATTTTCATTTGAGTTTCATTTAGTTTTAATTTTTGAAATCCAGTGCCCACAAAACAGCCCCAAAAGCTGCCATTGCCTTCAAAAGAGCAATGACGCCTGGCCGAGTCATTTACTCAGGTCAGTTGTTTTGAACATGATCTAGAGTCTGATCAGAGTCGTCAGTCTCTGATTTCTCTTTAAAATCTGCTTTCCTACCAACTACAAAGCCTTCTCTCTAATCCTGTGGCTGCTGTGCCTTTTGGATGTCAGGTTTCTTCCCCTTTCCTACCGCACACGCGTGTGGGAAGAGTGATGGCTCTCCCCTAACTCATCCTGCTCCTGATCGGCAGTACATCCTCCCAGCTGTGTCCAAACTCTACCCGATTCTCCACGTCAACAGAGTCCAGACTTACAGAGCTCTCCACTGGGGGCTATAATGTCTATTCTAGGGACAGTCTGCGCAGGTTTTTGTGTTTAGTGATTGCAAAGTGCTACCTGCATTTAGTGAGCAGGGTCAAGGGTGTCCACATGCAGCAGTGCACAGAACAGCTCCACACAAGAATGAACTGTCCTTCCCCCAAATGACAGTAAGGTCCCACCACCCTCACTCCTCTCCTCAAGAG